ATTTGATAATGCACATTAGATTGGTCTTTCCTTGTATGAAGTAACATAAAAGTGATCCAAATCTCGGACTCACCGCCCAGAAACATTCAATATATTACGAAAACAATGAAATACAAAGTTTTACAGAAACTAGAAACGAATCGAAGCACTGTACCCGGATCGATTTTTACAACAACCAGTTTGATGGAATTTTGCCAAGCAATTTGGTAGAAAAGTAACACAAGCTACAAAAATTTTGAGCCATTTAAATACATACATATCGACGGTCGTCTGCAATAATGACATAATTCGAAAAAATCCAACCCTTGCTACTGTTAAGTGGCTCATGTCTCTAACCTTGTCTTATCCATGTCTAACCCTTACCGAAGTAAGTAGTAAGGATTACTACAGTAATTAAGGATAAGATATGGATTCGATAAGAATTAGAGACCTGAGCCACTTAACAGTAGTAAGAGTTTTCATTTTTTGAATTTTGAGTTGTTACGTTATTGCAGAGGACCGTCGATATGTATGAATGTAAGTTACTAAAGTAAAAAATAAAAAAAAATAAAAATATTTTTGCAAATTCTAATTTATGAGTTTCTTAATTCATGTACACATACCATATCAGCCCGATTCTGTGCACTTGATAAATTCAAAATTTTTATAATTTGTAAATTTTTATTAGATATTTATCAAGAATTGCCATTCTAGCACAGAAATCAAAAGCTCTTTTATTATCAAGATTAAACATGCTATTGACAAGCGTTTACAAATTGAAATTTCATGTGCAAATATAAACTTTGTACATAAGTGTGTACGTATATTAAAAAATTGGTTTCTATCATTTGAAAACTACATACATATGTATGTGTCGTCATTTGAACCTGCGACACACAGAATTACTATAGTCGACATCTCTACCTACTCGCCTGCGGCAGTTAAAGCTTTTTTGCTTTTAAATTCATACATATTTTGCATATGCGACTATGAGATCAGTTCACCTAAAGTTGAAATCGTAGAGCTTTTTATTTAAATAAATATTGGAACAAAATACGAGGAGCTTTTACTTGTTAAAAATCTTGATAACATCTTACAAATAATTTACCAAGAAAACACAGAACGGTATGTATGTACGTAAAGGATTTTAGTATTTTTTCAAACAGTCACACAAAACTTTAGTTCACCAGAAATCGTCTTCATACGCATATTCGTAGGGCTACATACATATGTATGCATGTACAGTTATGTGTAAAATATTAAGACCGTAAAAAAGTTCTTTGAATATTGACTGCTGTAACTCATTACAATCAATTGATCAATTTAGCCAACAGCACTAACTCTAATTCAAAATATTTGCTTCAAAGTTATACTATTAACAGATTTTTCTTCCCGGGCTAAACATACTTACTTTTAACCAGAAAGCTTTTAAAATCAGTGTAAAATCATGTATATTTTAGGTTTTTTTACGTGATAGTGAGGATAACGTACGATATTTTCTTAAACAAAATGGGCAGGTGTGTTGTTTATTTTGGACAGCTTAAAATGTCAAAATTATATGTAAACCATTCAGAATTTAGAAAATGCATGAAACAAACTTTAAATTAATATTGTATCAGGCTTTTGCTTGTAGGTCTTAATATTCTACACATGACTGTATATACCTAAGCAACTGAAGTTTATAAAGTAAAAGTATTGCAGTTATTCAAATCGGTTACCATATTACATTTTTATTTACGAGGCGCTCAAGGCTTTTCGTTATGTGTGTGTATGCATATAAACCCAGTTTATAGCAAAATAAATTGGCTTATCTTGTAAGTTTCGCTGTGCAAAAGCTTTAAATTGAAGAACCAATTTTTGCGATATTTCAAGTAATAATTCTGCCATATTGCTTTATAAAATCTTCATGGAACTAAAATTTTTCAATGCCTTTTCGAAAATTTCGCAGAATACCGTAGAAATCCGAAATCGAAATCCCTGGCGGCCTTTGAAGTAAAACTCGTTGGTTCTATTTGCTTTCAAGTAAGTGCTTAAGCTACATTGGATGTTCTGAGTACGATTTTTATTTTGTACTAAACCAGTTGATCGTAAAGTAATTTTGTCGCCGCCGATTTTACGATGTCTGTAACTTCACTGTTACTCAAAGTCAAAATCAATTGCTAAGTGCGTACAGAAATTGCTAAGCGTAAGCGCAACTACACAAATATTACTTATGCATAAATTCAAAAATAGTAGATAATTTTTTTACTCTAACGTTTTTGGTATGATTTTCAGTTATCAGATTATTTGTAAATATTATCTTATAGTTGTTTGTTTTTTTTTCTTATGACATGGTTAATAATTTTCTGGAATGGTTGCTAATCCCTTTTGCAATACAACATTCACTTCACTGTTGTTAGTGGTATTTGTATCTGTACTCGCATAATCAAGAGCTAAATCCAAATCTGGTATAGGATCACGCCAGTAGTTGAAGTTGGAGTATTCCACTGTCCCCTCATCGTCGCGTATAGGCGGAAATAGTTGATCAACAATGTATGTCATGCTGCAGTAGCTGTGAAACGAGAAAATAAAAGATACAAAATTTTATTATTTTTTATTTTCTAAAAAAATTCGCCAATGTTGACGAAAAATCCTATCCAAGTCAATTTTCATTGCACAACTATTTTTATGTGACCTTAGCCCGAGTTCGATAGTAATAATGGTCTATAAATACATGTACATAACTGTATTCTTAGCACATAAGGAACTACTCAACGTATTCACAATGGACAAAAAAGTTTTCATTGCGTTCGTAGAAAGGCAAAACAACGCCCGAAGCTATGCAAAGTCCTACGCAACTTGGACACGAAATCTCGCCACACTACATTCTAGCTTCTTCTCCTTTCCACTATGTATTTACTTCTATAATACTTTCTTGCTGTTAGGAAAAAGTATGCAATAGTGTGAGTGTATGGTTTGTGCATGATTTCAGAATAAATGGTGGCATACCTTTAGGCACATTTTTATAAACTTACTTAACCATATTTTACGTTACTACTAATGATCGTTGATTCGACGAAGTCTTGTTAAAACCCTGTTGTTTTGCAACTAAAAGTATCTTAAAATTTGATATTTGAACTTAATAATAAAAAAACTTTAAGGTTCATAAATGCTCAAAAATATTTTGCCTTATCCTGAGTTTCGCCTGAAAAAAAATTCACCCGAAAATTTGTCATCCGCGAAAATGAAACTCATGATAAGGCTGATTGTTTATTCAATATATTTTACATACGCTTATATTATATGTATTTTATATAAGCGTATCAAAAATGGACCACATTTTCTATTGGACTTCTCAGCCGAAGTCAATATAAGGCAAAAAGTAACACATTATATGCGTATTGGCATAATATAAAATGCAACAAAACTTTTAATTATAAAGTAGTCCAGGCAAAAAAAAAACCACACTCCGATAGTCCAAACAAACATATTTTCTCAACATCAGAAGAGAAAGCGCTAACCTCACATAAAATGACCTGAATCACATCACGTAGCGAAGAGAAAACAAGTAAAGTGTGAGTGATAGTCGTCGAATCGACGAACTCTAGAGCATACAGCGACACCAAAACAAATTACATATCGAATTCTTCTTGTTGTTTTTTTTCTTGACTTATTTATGATAAATGTTCCCATTTCTACTAAATTTATAAGACAAAATAACATCATTTCGTCGGCAAGAGTGGAGGAAGTGGGCTGCTGGTTTGAAAACGCCCTGTCTCAGCAAGTGGTTGAAGAACGCCGTATCTCAGAATTAGGTTCGATATCGCGGTATCTCAGCCGCCACTTCGAAATGAATTTTTGAAAAGGTTCTGATTCTTGCTATAAAAAAAATCTGGAAACTTTTTGAAAGAAATTTTAAACTCGCGCTTATATCACATTTCCACCAAAAGCTTAACTGTGGTAAGAGCTCAGGTAGGTTCCAAGAATTTTAACATGGGTGTTCGGCAAAGTTCATTTCTTAATTTTTCTTTTTTACTTTCGTTTGTTTGTACCTAATATGAGTTGTAACCTCCGGTTTCCAATTTTTTCCGTTAAGTCAACTCTTCAAAAAAAGCATATCTACTATTCCTAGGAGAATCGACGAAAAAAGCAAATATAATTACAGCAGCAGCATTCTAGTTGGCCTTAACCCAAAAGCCAAAGAAAATCGTTTATCACAATGACGAAATAAACGAGCAAATGATATCTGACTTGATTTGTTTAAAAAAATTAATTTTTCTCTCTTTTAAAACTGTCATAGCTCGCTCTGAAAATTGGGGGGAAAAATTATGTTGAAAAAAAAGAAAGTTTCCCATTTTCCCCCAAAAATGTCCTTGTCAATGTTTTTAGCAAATTGATTTTTTCTGAAAAATTGAAGATATTTTTTTACTTTTTTTTTATTTGAGACAAAACTTGTATAATCTACGAAGATATGCAAAAATGGCTTTTATGAATAGTGAAAAATTTTAAGCTTCTAAAAATTTTTTAAACAAAGCTTTGGGAAATTATTAAGAAAAGGTTATGACCTATACTAAGTAGGCCCTACAAAAAGTCAGTTTTGACTGCTACACAGTGTTATGAAAAAGAAAAGATTTTGGGAAATATACATAAATATTGTGAGAAAAGTGGGTACCAATTGCGGAACAAGAAAAGCATAAAAATTATAATCTGGGTTTTATTCAATGTACTTTTTTTTAAAGTCATAATCATTTGTATATACACAAGTATGTAAATATGTTTGTAAATATAAAGGTATACAGGAAATGCATAACTACTAATGCACCACGATTTAGCAGGTAATAACATTGCACAATAATATCGATAACAATATTTTTTGTTTTTGTAAAATTACAAACAAAAATCCCAGTCCAGCTTGCGGATCAAAGCCAAAAACAGCGTTGTGATTTACACATACATATGTATGTAGATATGTAAGGCAATAATATGTATCAGCAAATTTGCCTTTTAAAATACACATACTACCAAAACAGTTTATCAAACAATTATAATTTGATTGAAGAAATATGTTGTAATATTACTTCACGTATTATTCAGTACTTCTGTACATAGTTTAGGTACATAGCGTAACGCTTAGGATGAGATGTGTTTATACATTTTCTTATGCCTATTTATTCTTTATCATTTCGTTTTCAACGTGTTTCCACATGCGTACAATTGACTAGGCTTATTCTACATACGTATATGTCATTTATAACTATATAACTTGTCGTTAATTCGTACTCGTTTCTGCATATAAAATAAAATTGTTTAACTAGCTTATCTAGATAAAACTGTCGACGAATACGCATACACATGTACATCTGTATACATCCGTATGTATGGCACCAGATGTCTCACAGCTACATGTATTTATAACTTAATCACGATTATCACAATCAACTTTCATTTGATCATTTTATGCTTACTTTCACCATAAACTCAAATTTAATTTACAACTGAACAGCCTACATAGGCATATATGAAGGTCAATAGAACGCTAGTTGCTAACAAACAGAATACTTATTAAAATTCCTTCAGGTAGTTGTATTCAGATTGGAAGACTCATTAGCTAGCCCCATAGGAGCCGGAAGGATAATCATTTCCTAGTTTAGGTAGTTGTTTGCCTCAACCGCTATGTGACTAGTCCCATCAGAGGAAGTCCGCTTGCCAACATCTAGTCTCATTATCAGACTACGTTCGTTTTTATCAGCTGTAGTGCGGTCGTTTTCGTTTGCGTAATCGAGATAGACATCATTATCTGCATCCACGTCAATGGCAGCATCACCAGCATCACTGACGCTTACATCTTCAATGCCGTCATCTGTTTCGCTGAATTTCAATTCATCTTCCTCTTCATCGTCGTCAAAAGTGTCAGTACGATACTCATAGATATTAAGATCCAACGGGGGGAAGTGCTCATCAACTTCGAGCGATTGATTGATGTAACCGCTATAAAAATTTTTCAGAGCGTTTCGAAAATATATTTTAGCAAATTGTGCTTTTTTTTTGATATTTTATGTTTTTTTTTTTTTCGTTTTCACTTTTACAAATGGATGCTCAAATCGTTTAGAAGTGAAACTAATTTTAGTATCATACAAGTGCATTGGCGAATATATGAACATACATACAAATTTCGATTTTGTTTTTGTGTACGAGGAGCTTATTAATATTGATGAGTTTTTCTGTAACAACCAGGCTATGTACATACATATATGGAATTTGGTGATAGTTCAATTTTAATTAGGTATGCACATATGTAAGTAGTTTTCAATTATAGCCAAAAAATACATGAGTATTAAAATGAATGTTTTTTTATATACGATAGCATATACCTTTAAGAAGTTATAGAGCGTTATAAATCACCTATTCGGGTTACCAAAATGAGATGGATTAAAAAATGCTCTGGTCAAATATTCTACATAATATATTTAAAAAATAAATTTACTGCATTTGCAAATATGCATCCCTATGCATCCCTATGCATATTGTAATAAAATAATCACTTAAGCTCCGATAAGACCTTATACAAATTTATAGTTCCAGAAAGAAAATTTCGGAATTGTTTTTCATTAACACATGCAAACTAAATTAACCAACTTTAACCTATCTAAAAATTGTTTAAGAATTTTAGTATATCACACACGTTAACTAAAAGTGTAATAGTAAATCTGAAGTAGTAGTTTGTTGCTATTTGTTGAACTAATCTTAGTAATGGTAACGCGTCTTCAAATGATTATCATGAGCCTAGAAATAGTTGTTCCGTTACAAATGGTTAATTTTGGGTTACTACGCTTTGAAGAATGTGTGCGATATAAGACCATGAGAATCAGAGTTATCATCTAAATACTAAGCTATTAGATATTATCGGACAAGATTTTTATAACAATTGTTGGGTAAATTTATTGGACCTGACTACTAAGTCCAACTAACTTTAGCATAGTCTATCCATCTTTGTCGTGAAGTTCAACAAATCGGACCAAAGGGAAAGGAGTGTAAGCTGAATGGGCTTGAGGACGCTTCAAAACAACCAACTTTTTTAAGCTGATCAAACCTCGGATAACTAAAGGTTACAGGGAATATATATATTTGCCCTGTTATTAAACCCTTTTTATTACAAGAAAAACTTATTCACTTTGCAAAATTGTTATGTGACATAGAAGTTCATTTGTCTGCGGAAAGTTATCGTACGTACATGGGAATACAATTAACTTTACAGATCTTATATATATGAATGTATGCACGCAATTTATATTAATAACAATAACCACAATTACTTTACACCACCAGTTTAGACGATTGCATAGATGTTTGAATGGTCAATTGTTAACAACTGTAAATCGACTTGGCTGATTTGTGAGACTTAACAAACGTATGTTCCGTTTGGTACTTACGATGATTGGAATGTTTGCGTAAGCTCATGCTTTAGCTCTCCTTTGGTGTTGATGGTGAAAATCCGCATTATTGGTATCCCAACAGCACGATAGGCCCATACATCCTAAACCATTAAAAAGTTAGCAATTTTCCACACTAAAAATACACATTTCCTATGCAGTTTTATTAGCTTACATTAATGCGATTACCATAGCCGGCATAGAATGGATCCTTGTCGGGGAAGAGCTCACGGATGTCGGAGAGACAAGCAATTTTGAATTGCTCCGGTTTGCGTTCGATCACTTCCCGATGGAATGCCGAGATGAGCGATGTTGGATTCAGTAGGAGGGGCCCATCGGGCAGCTTCACATCGCCTTGACGTATGGAACGTAGATATTCACGTGTAGCACGCGACTGCCCAATGGCACGTGCCGACAAATACAACAGCTTATAGCCGTTTTGTTCGATTTTTGAGAACAATTGTGCCACGCCCAATTGAGCCCAATCCTTACCAACCATTGGCAAAATATGACCGAGCACGTCTGATTTGGTAATTGTGCCATCGATATCGGAAATGACGACCTTGTCATTATGCTTCCAGCGGAACAAATAGCACTTGCAGCGCGTGGTGCCTTGGTAGGCGGTTGTAACGCTGAACTCAATTTCGTTCATACCATCTTTCAAGTTCAATTGTTTCTGAAAGTAGTTTGAATGATAAAACCTCCAAATATGAAGGCCTACGTTGTGCACCCATTAAAAACTTACAATTGCTTCCGAGCTAAGTCGCAAACTCTTCTTGTAGCGTTCATTACCGTTGCTGGTGCTCTCTTCTCCTTTCGAAGACGCTTGCGATAAGTCTTCCAAGTTCTCGACCTGAGCTGAAGTGTTTTCGGCATTGAGCGTTGAATCAGTTTTGCTTAGTGTGTTCTCACTAATGTCTGGGGAGTTTGGACGTGTTGTTTGTGTGGCCACAGCAGCCTGGTCGGCATCTGTATATAATGAGATAGAAGCTCGTTATGGAAAGATATGCTTATGCATGTAAGAAATGCAACTGAGCCGAAATGCGCAGCTACTGGTTTAGTAAATTTTCACGCGGCCATCAATTGCTAACTCACCTCGCTCATCAATCTTATCGTCCGGTTTGATAATTTTGTTAGAACTGGCTACAGCTCCTACTTGTGAGCGCCTCCAGTTCCACCAGGATCGTTTCGATTGCGCGCTAGGGCCAGTCGCGCCGCCATCTGGCTCGATTTTAAGCGCCGCCACGTCCTGCTTAGTGTTACTCATAAGCTGCTCAATGGCATCCTAGAGTTTGGTAAAATTTAAGCATTGAATATAATGACTACATATTATGTATACTCGTATGTGGAACAATAAAATTTAGTAAAATTAAATTTTTATTTGTAGCAAAGCATTCAAATGCCGTTAGTGGGCGTGCTTGCAAACTTACGTTAGTCAATGGTTTCTGGAATGTTATTATGGTCATGACAATTGGACATGCAGCCGCCCAGGTATAGTATTTGCCATTCAGGCGTACAACTAGATTTGGTGACGAGAACAGACTGGGATTTTCGCAAACCTAGGATAATGATTGGTATTTTGTGTTTAATAACAGTTAGTTTATTATTCGAGGTGTAAAAATGTTTTGAGCAAAACATGAAATTGCTTTGTTCGTTACTGGCCTTATTATAATTTCGAAAAATTCGGTGAACTAAGGAATTAGGTAAACTAAATAAAAATAAAATGCTTTTGTATATTTAAAGATGATTACAACAAACTACTATTAACTTATAAGTAGGGCAACGTAAAAAAGCATGAGCCTTTTTTGCTGGCATGTTGAGGCCGAAATATTAAATTTTTCTGAGGAGCATACGGCTCTTCAAACTAAGGGCCGTCAACTTATCAATTTTAAACTATACTATATAGATAAGTTAACGACACTTAAAACTTTTACTTTTAAAAAGATCACTGTTTATTTTTATTTTTATGTTAACTTAAATGTTTTTTCTAGGTTATTATTACCATATTGACATGGAATATTTCGTATATTCATTTCATTCAGCATTTATTTTTCAGCATAGTGTGAGATTTTTCGTGCGTAGCAACGCAACTAATATTTTATTCTTCTGTGTTTATTTTTTAAGCGGCTAAATTCTAGTTTTTGCAGCAAATATTATTGCCCTGCTTATAAATTTGAGATAAATTAAAGTGCAAAAGGAAGTGCAGTTAACTTGAATACTTGCTGAAAACTAATTAAACATAGCAGACCGGATTCTCATTCACAGTCCAATTCTTTAATGAATTATTATTAATATCTTCACTTGCTTGAACTGTGAGAGAGAAATCGACCATTAGCGGTAGGTTAGAAACGAATGCTTTCAAATACAAACTTAACACTTAACATACATCGGAATACTTGATTAAGTGCTGATCGAACTCCTCATCCGATGGCTCGCCCTTCTCGTTTACGCCACACAAAGACATCGCCACAAAGTCTAGGTATCTAAACAATTATTGACAAGACATTAGAAAATAAATTGTATAAGTTTTCCACTGTTGCCATTTCATCTTACTTTGCGTCCTGTGGCTTGCCATCTTCATAGTCCGAGTCGATGCTTTTCTGGCCTTCCATGGAACTGGGTGAATGCGGCAAACTCGTACCGTTGCCACTTTCGCGATCATCATCACCGGAGTGGAGTAAAGTGTTGCTGGTAGTGCCAGCGTCTGCTGTCGCTTGACTTGTAGGCTTCGAGAGTAGTGGTTGCGGAAAATACAGTGCTGCCATTTCAGGATCCATACCCTCAGCGTCCAAATCCGACAAATACACACCGCCATCTGTAGCTTGCTTACGCATCTTATTTGTTTTCTTCATGAAATTAAACATTCCACTTAGCATGGAATTGCGTTGCGCCTGCGACTGTGCCGCCTGATCACCACAGCCATCACCTTTGTCGCTCACCTCGGGTGTGGGCAATTGGCCCCACTTCCATGAGGCCGAATTGGACATCATTTCAGTATCAACGTCCTTCTCGCGCAGCGATATCTCCAATTCACTGTCACTCTGTATAGGCGTAGAGGGGCGACCAGATCCGCGACCCACACAGCCGTTCGCTCCCCCAGTTGGAGTCACCTCGGTGTCACTGAAGAAATGTATATCCAGATCGGGAATGCGTGTGCTTGGCGTGGCGGGTAATGTTTGGCACGTTTCGCTGATGGGACTCTCATCGCCAGCCGTGACGGAAACAAGTGGCGCCGATTGCTGATCGTTGTTTGACTTTGCGGTGGCGATTTCCTCGTTCGATGATGAATTGGTATTGTTGGAAATGGAGATGCCGTCGCCCTCGTCGGCATTCATGCCGCTGCCATTGGCACCCTCTACTGTTGTGGTGCTACCAATTGAGCTACTCGAGGAAGATTTACGTTGCGCGTTCTTTTTCTTCATTTGGGACTTCTTGCGACGCTTCTTCTTACCACCCTTGGATTCGTCCTTCAGGCTAGCATTATTGGAGATGCACTCGGCGGCGGAAATCGTCAATGAGTTAGCTGACTTTGCATTGTTCTCTTTTGGCTCAAGCTCTTCTTTAGCAGCTGGCTGTATAGCTATAGCCGGGCTTGCTTTAAAAGCCGTTGCTGTTGTTGTTGTAGTGGCTACAACAGCCGTGCTAGATCTTGATTGAGATTTATTTTCGGTTTGCGTGCTGTTACTCCAATCCTATTTAAAAAAAAAAATTATATTATTTTATATAACGTTTTATTGTGTTTTTGCAATTCAAATTTACCTTATCCTTTTCAACGGCGTCAAATTGGAATATCTCTTCATGTTCAGCCCATTCCTGCCGCAATTTTTGAGTTGTATACTCTTGCAATTTTTCGCTAAGGTTACGGCGCTCCAAAGTATTGTCTGTATGTCTGCAAAAGGCCGAAAAATATGTTGTTATATTTATTTATTGCTTGACTTTGAATCTTCAAATAGTAATGCTAAGTTTCCACTAGGCATTGAAATTACAAAAAATCTATGCCATTTAAAAAATGTATGCCTTTTAAAAAATGCCATGTGGAAATGAACTTAATGACTTTTTTTTTTTTAATGTAATGACACGATTATTTTTGAATGCTCAACTTTGTCATTTTTGCCATTTTTACCATTTAAAGCCTAGTGGAAATCGAGCATATGTATTCAGTACTTTAATACAAATACAGGCAGGCAATCAGTAACTGTGTTTTAATAAATTTTGTGAATAATATACAAACTTATGTATGCTTATAATGTACAAATGTATAATGACAGTGAATTGGAGAATAATTAAAAATACTTAAATAAGTAACAGACAAAATTTAACGCACAAGAAACTTAAAAATAAAACTACCTTCTGTGACTAAAATCTGAGACTTGATTCTCAAATTTCGGCACCTGATCTTCCTTTACGGTCTCTTTTGAAAAGTCAATGGAATTACGACGCGGCAATGGCAGCGGCAGTTGAATGTCATCGCTAGCGATTCTATATAGAATAATGAAAAACAAATATTTCAATGAAAATCAAAAATTAAAACCAAACTAAAAAAACGTGAAATTAAAATAAAATGTATGCAAATAAAAAATAGTTCAATTGTACTACATGAATGTACGTACATATGTATGTTAATATTTATATAAAAAAAATACCGTTAAGTATGTAGTAGAGTTTAGGAAAACCGTAAAAATATACTTATGTAAGTTTTAATTTTGTGCATTCAACATCAATGCTACTCCAAACTACGTAAAAACATAACATTAGAAATCAGAGGCTTACTTGGTTGTGCCTTCGAGAGTGTCATCTTCCAAAGTATCATTGGCATATTTGCTGGGAAAATAACTGCTTGGTATGGGGGAGGTGGCCATATTCTCCGGCAACTCCTCAGCATCCTCTAAGGGGCACTCCTCTACGAAGAATGCCTCACCAGAGTCGCCCAGCTTCATGTGGATATCAACAGGTTCGCCATTTATTTCAATATCAACCTAAAAAATTTCAAAATGTTGGCATAGTAATCATTAGAATTTCAAATCCATTACAAAAAAAAAAAAAAATATATATATTTGTTAGAAAGTAACATACCACTTTTTCGCGACTCCGCAACACACCCAATTTGCCGAAACGCACGTGAAAAGGTGAACACTGAAATTCGCCATTTGGCTGTTCCACAACGATCACATCGATGGCGCCGGTGAGTGTAGCGCCATTGATTTCATTGTAGAACTCTCTAAAGTTGCTGAAAACCTTTACAAGACTATTCATTTTGTCTGTTTTGTTTGTGAATATTTAGTCCAAAATTAGTATTGATCGCGATTATTTTAATTGCCAAAAGTTCTTCTAGACGACTTCCACTGTGGAAGCGCCGTTGCGAACTGAACGTAGACGGTGGGGCTGGTTCGGAACCGTTCACCTTTGCTCGATGTACAACACAGAATGGCAAGTTCTTTATCAACAACAGTTAGAGTTTAGCATTAAACACACAAAGTTAATTGTTGGCCCATTGATTCTTAGTACATAAAATTTTTCTCAGCCATGCTTTTAGTGTCCAGTCGTTTTTGTATTTGGCCGTGAGGCTTATCTGTGGAGGAAAAACACAACAATTAAAAATGAGTAATAAATAAATAAAAATGCTATATGTATGTATAAATTTATTAACATAAACCATTTGAGACAGCAAGATAAAATGTGCGAGGTCCATTAGACGTGGGAGAAGTTTTAGAACCAATAACGAGTATGATTTGTGATAAGACTTTTGACATTGGTTTGAATGGAAGATTAGAAATTCATTTGCTAAAAAGTCCACATTGAAATTAAAAATTACTTTTAATTCTTCAACTTTCTTTTTGTAGAAGTTACAAGGGAGAAGCATGATCCCTGATACCACAGATAAGGGGAAAAATGTATAATTTTATCAGGTTTTTGTAAGTTTACATTCTCTTCATCGACTGCACGAGTTGCATGGCGTGCCCTGGCCGAGACTGGATTTGAAGAAATCAACCACCCACAACACAGTCCGTCCAGGCCTGGCCTGCAGCGATTACTTCCTGTTTTCCAATTCGAAGAAAAGTCAAAGACGGCGAAGTGCATTGAAGTAGAGTCAGATTATATATAAATATTAAATTTTTATACTCTTCTATCAGCTATTTTAATACCATAGGCTCACAACTTTTCAGCCTCCCCTCGTATGAAGTTGGTACCCGTACGTTTGCTGTATTACGAAAAAAGGAATTACAAATAATTTTGGCATTTGTTCTTGAAGCTGAAAATGTTTTTTTTTTTTTTTTGCGAAAATAGCATAATAAAACGGTGCTTTGACAAATTTCTTTGCCTGTGAATTAGATTCTTACTTGTACCGAGTATTTATGTATATAAATATGTATGTACATAAGTACGTATGAACATATCTATGTACGAATACAAATGTACGTATTTAGGTAAGTACGAGTAAGAAGCAAGCAGTACCCAAATAATAGAAAAAAAGTAGAAAAATTAAAAACAAAAACACAGCGGAAAATTTTGGCTACAAAATGACAAATAATCTTAGAGGAATGAATTTAATTTTCACATTCATACTATATAGATGGATATATGCATGTACACATATGTACATGTATATGTATGTATGCAAATAAACATATCAACGTTTGAAGTACAAAACCGCGTATCAACAAAATGTAAAACCGCGTATGTGAGGTTGTATAAATTATTTTCTAGAGAGTAAAAACACTCATACATATTTCAAAATGGTTCTTTTTTTTTAATAAAGCAATCGCATTTGTGGCTAGTATATTTCAAGACGAACGGATAAGGATTGAGGCAAGAGCTTGTGTGAGCAAATCCAATTTGTGGTAGCAAATGTCAGTTACGCGGTTTTGCAGAATGACGATACGCAGTTTTGTACTTTAAACGATGATATACATACTACGTACTTTTATTGAGTAAATTTATAGTTGGCTAAGAAACGTGTTCGCAGACGAAAGTTAGACCCAGTTGCCAAAAGGTTCATTTTCAAAGATTATTTTATAATCACAGATTAACGAGGGAGGTTTTTTTAATTACAGTTTATGTAGTTAAGCTAGAAAATGAGGATAATCTTTATATATGTATAGGTACTACTTTAAGACAATTATGTCACTTTCTGAATCACCTACATATTCTAAGCAGATATTTTAAAACACATAGGACCAGTTTTTCAGTGCGAATTTAACTCTGTTTGTCGTTTAAACTAAATTTAAACTAAGTGTACAGTTTTTAAGTCAAATTTAAACTGGATTTAACTAAACTTCGTTTAAACTGAGTTTAAACCAGCATTGAAAAACTGGCCCTTAATGTAGTTTTCGAGTCGTTATACATATACATATCGTCGCTACCATGTCAAATTATCGAATGTTTTTCATTTACGATACCTTGCGTATGCGTTTCGAATGATACGTAAGTATCTTCGCCCAAGAATGATAGAATATCATTCTTGATCTTCGCCTAGGTTCAGACAGAGAAACTTTTGTCGCGGCAAATCGTTACTTGTGGGAGAGGGAGTGACGAGGAAGGGGGAAGGGCACCGAGTTGCTCGTTCTCGGGCAACACGCTTTGTGCTCTCGTTCGTCTGAGTAATTCTAGTTGGCCGTTCACAGCTGACAACAACAATTGTGTACAAAAGAATTGCTCTGTGTGAACGCGAAGGGCAACACCAAAAGAGAAGTTGCCGAAAATGAGAGCATTAAAAGTTTCTCTGTGTGAAGCCAGTCTTAGAAGTAGAGGATACTGGATTTTATAAAGTGTGGAATCCCACACTTTTTCCTAATGACAAAAACATTTTTTACAACAGTTTCTTTGCTCTCACAGTATCATCCTCTGTAAAAAATCAAGGTAACAATGAGTACTGTTTGCGTGGCTGTGATAAGATACCCCTAAAATTGAGCTACATACGAGGGATGTTTCCAAAGTTCTGCGAATTTAGCTATAATTTTTATTATTTCGTTAATTTTCGTCAATATCACATTGTAGGTTTTCAAAATATTTTCCATTTAACTGAATAAAATTATCCGAACGATAAAATCATTTTTTTAAGCCGTCATCAAAGAACTTTTCTGGTGTCTCCTCAATCCACCTATTTATGGGTCAGTTTACGTCAGTTAAACTTACAAATCGAACACCCCGTAACGGTTTTTTCAAATCTGGGAACAGATGATAATCACTGGGTGCAAGATCCGGGGGGGTATAAGTTGGGTGCGGAAGCAATTCCCATCGTAAACCGTTCAAAACATCCTTCGTTTTTCTTGCGGTGTGTGGTTTTGCATTATCATGTTGCAATAACACCCGTATTTTGACAAGTGCCTGTCACAGTAGTCCGCTGAATAATTTCTGATGTTTTCACACCTTTCCACAAAATGAAAATTATTGCTCTTTGAGATTATGCTGCGATTACAGTGATATGAAAACGCGACTATAACAGTCGTACACCTAAATCAGACTGAACAATATTACACTAGATAGTTGCATAAACATGTCAAGACTTGTGTGGCACCAATAACATTGCCTATAAGTTCTGCGTAATTTAATTATAGCACAATTCCCAGAACTTTGGAAACATCCCTCGTACATATAAATTTAACTTTGAAAATGTTAAAGCGTTAAGCATCTGCAGATGGCGATTACACGAATGGCAATTGAAATATAAGAAAAAAAAAACAAGTTTGCAGCAGGTGTGATGGGTCAGTTGACGTAACAGCTATTAAAAACGTTGAAGAAAGTGTAGTGTCATAAGTTGATACATATATATATGTACACACATTTTAATTCTTTGATACTAGTTAAGAAATAGTTTTTGTTTCTGTTGACGATTTTATATTCAGAGAAATTTCATTGCTGAAAATTATTATTGATTCAACGTTCAAATCATGATAAAAAAAAATAGAAAGGTGGAACCGCTGAGAGGAATTTTTCAAATTCTTGACGTTTGCAAGCAATGAAGTTTTAAAATTTTACACACATTCTCATTTTCAATCTCAAACAACAACAACTTTGAACAATTCCATTTTTTACTCTCAATTTTATATGATTTTAAAATGTTGGCAAACTTCAAAAAAAATCATGGCCGACGAGTTGAGAGAACGGTTTTACCTTACTATGTTTTTATCATGGTTCAAATTGTTTAAACATATTTATTTAAATAAATTATAATTCCTTTTTGTAAAGGAGAATTTTGTAATTACTTTATAAAATCCTCTATATACACGCTTTTATGTAATTTTATTTGAAATTTTTAGGAAATTTTTTAAAAATTACGCATATAAAAAACATTGAAAAAGTAAGTAAATAAATTTTTCTTGGTCTTTTAAGAGCTAGTCTGCACTGTGGTCAGTTTGCCAGCATGTGCTCATATTGTCTTCCACATATACGTATATACGTATACGTAAATACATATGTATGTCTGTACATCCTTCTGTAGCTACATATGTGCATTTAAAAGTCCAAGAATGACAATATCACCTGTGCATTCTAAATCTATTGACCAGCTGGGAATTCAAATGTAACAACAAAGAAACAAAAGAAAAATAAATAAATATAAATAAAGGTTAGTACTTTTTTGTTTTTCCTTGCCTAGTCTGCCGTGCAGTATTAGAAAGTATTCAGTAGCTATCGAAAAGGAAATCAATCATTCTCCGACTAAATTCAAACAGTGGTGCCAAACTGGAGTTTACTGTTCAAAATTGTCCAGTACTCTAATTTTTCATTATTATAATTATTGTTTTTTTTTTTTTAAATTAACGCTAGAAGAGATTTGTCGGGCCCGATTTTTGATTTGTTATTTGTTTGTAAGTATTTACTGATTTGGACAAGCAAATGACGATTTTTTAATTGTGTTCAGTTTTTTATTACCAGTAGTTTTAGTGGCGATTTTTCGATTTTGTTTTTTACTTTTCCAAAAATTTACTGGGCTTTTAACCCAATAGTACAAAGATCTTTAACCCAAACTAAAAGATTTTTATATATGTATATACATATGTATTCCAAAAGTAAATACCAAACTTCTAATTTCAGGCCTTTCTTTTGAATTCTAAGGTTTTTTGGGAGAGGGTTCCTTCACCATATATATGTAATGACTAACCAAATTTCAACAATAAGGAAATATGGACATCCAATTCTACTGTGTTGCCACATGAGCAAAAATGGGAAAATTATATTTTCGCTTAGGTTTTAAGGCAATTTTCTAATTTAAAAAGTTCGCTTATATACCCAAGTACAACCAACAACACACAAGTGTTAAATAAGTTTAGTTCATTCGATAATATGTATGTATGTCATTTATCTAAATGCAACTAAACATATTCCTGTTTTAAGTAATGTGAATTTTAGTGATTCGTAAAAGGTTTTTATATTTATTTTTTTTTTTCGTATAACAATCAGCTATCAAAATTTTTTCCGGACACTGTTCATTTGTTTTGTGTGTCGATGATTTTTCAATAAAAAGGACGATTTTCGATAATCATTTTGACGATTTCTATGTTCAACTACCTGGCAACACTATTTCTTCATTTCATCAGCTATGTATGTATGTGTATTGTATGTAGATATTTT